GGTACAATCTAGAGGCAACGGTTTTGCACTTTACAGCGTATATTTCGAGTTAACTAAGGATATGATCATGATGTCCTCCTCTTAAAATTGCCTCTTTCAGCATAGTTACGGACTTCTGAATTTAATATTTTCCTGCTTAGATGTTCGTACATGGTGAGCTAAGGTTTCTAATGTTATCTCCAACCCCACGCATGGGAGGAATGAAGCCATTTATTTAGCGTGCTTGATCCTCTCTTATTTTTTTTAATGTAAATGATGTTTCGCGTTATTTTAAGTATGGTAGGCCATTTATATACGCTGAGGATTTAAAGTTTACCTATCAATATAAACCGGCAGATCGCAACATTGTGCTCGAGCTCCTAAAAAACGGATATTACTGTCTTTGTTCCATGGTGCTGCACATGACGCCTTTCCGTTCCTTTGCAAAAATGCTCCGTTATGTTTTTTGGTTGCGATCATCAGCTACAACTAAGCGTAGATGGTTACGACCTAAATTTGCCAGGAGCTATCAAGGATATGGGCATATCATATTCCAATGTTATTAGTCTGACAGAATATCGCGCCCGGATTAGCTGTAAACCATGCCGAACTGCCCCGTTTGATTTCAGAAATTTTAAAACCATCAATATAAGGACCGGTCTTTGGAAAATGTACATTAAGACTATTCCGGAATACTGTTGGTTTCTATTTAACTTTCTGTGTGTTAGTGAACGAATGAAAATAAAATCGGTCCAGCATTTCTCTACTAAAAATACTTTTTCTTCGGAGCAGCGTAATTACGTTTCGAAAAGGGGGGTTTTGGCTAGGCATAGGGTACCCCCTGTTCGGCTGAAAAATAGGACTCTACATTGTAGAGTGATTGTAGAGTTGGAATCCGACACACACTTGGTGCAAATCGAGCTGGAATCCGACACTAAATTGTAGAGTTGTAGAGCTGGAATCCGACTGGAATCCTGTTGGATTTGCTAATAGGGAACCTGTCTTACCAAGAACGTGGTGAGCTTACAAAAGCTAGATCCATTGTGGCTTCGCAGATTACAGAATGGACAATTTTTGTTGTTTGAACTTTTAAACAGTCGTATATTTAAGCCCCTTAATAATCAATACACAAGTCACCGAAATGTATTTTTATCTCTTCCTCCGGCACGCACAGTTACATATCGTTAGTTATTTGTGTAAGCGTCATGACAATCTGGAATAAGAAATATCCAAAATCAGCAGAAATACCCTTTCTAAGTAAAATATCACTAGCTTCTGCGTTTAGAGTATCCTTCACGAATGTTGGGCGCTGACTCGATCGAATCTCGTTTTCGTTCTGATTGTGTTTGTAGACCCTGAAACTGGTGTAAGGCTTCATCCTGAGGGCGAGTGTGATGAATTTGCGGCCCGTAGGCAGTTATTTCTTCGGCCGACAGCAAGCAACCGTTCGCCGACACACATTTATATCGCGTATAATTTAGGTTCTATAACAATGAAGGGAGATTGTCAACAACGTGCGCTATTGCTAACCCTTCTCCCTCCCGAAATACTAATATACATCTAGCTGTAGTTATTTCTTCTTAAAAAAACGACTAAGAATATTGAGGAGATTTTTTCTCCGTCAGCTCGACCCCTAGTGTATATGTTTTTGACCATGCCTATAAACGGAAATAGAAGCAGTCGCAAAGGCCTTTTCATAGCGCCTTCGAAGTCGCCTGGAGGGTTGTGCTGGAGGGAGTAGTACACCTCCCCGAATTAGACCCACTTTTAAATGATATAGCTCAACTTGTTCTTTGCTGGCAGCTGAGAGTGATGGGTATACGTTTGTCGCTAATCTCATCATGTCTGCTGCGAAGCGTTCGGGAGATTCTTCCCTCGGTGATGTCGATAGTTGGTGAATGGCGTCTTCAATAGCTAATTGGGTTTGAACCCGCCATAAAAGTTGATCACATAAGAGTTCAAAAGGAGTGGTGACAGTAAGTCTAGCCTCAAGCACCTTATACAGTTTTCCTTGCCTTAGTATTTTAAAACTAGCCGGTCCATATGGAAGCAAAATATACGTAACCAGCTAAGGAAATCGCGCCCGCAATCGAAAGGACAGAAAGAATTTAAGATGGGATTGGAGTTATCCGTGGACGTAGAGGTGGCCGTGGTTGAGTTCTACGGCGGCGCTGCCACTGGAGTAATCTCCGAGTTGTATCGGAATTTCAAATGGGGTTATACTTCAATTATGCAATTGGCGTAGACTTCTTCTGTATTACTGTCGCGTGATTGATCTTTCTTGACGGGTATCTCTAATTTCATTAAGGGGATCATTCCTTTTGTCAAACACGCAGACAAACTGATGATGATTAGGTATGAGTCGTAAGCAAAGCACTTCTTGAATTGTAAATGAACAGTGGAAGACTTCAATCACGTAAACTCCAATGACTACAAGGAGGCTCAATCGTCCTTGATTTCCTTCGTCGTTCCCTCTGTCCATTAACCCTTCTCGCAGACTCTCACACGCTACTCAACCATTGTTGATGAAGTGGGGAGTGAAGGGACTAACGAAGTGTACGTAACAGATAAACATCAAAAATACATATTAAAACAACAAGATCGGTTTGGCTTCCTACATGCCAGCAGTGAGATCCAAACAGGATGCCTTCTAGGCGACTGGTACGTCTCCATTTTGCATTTAAATTTTATTATGCACGACAGTGGCACCGCCGTCAGCGGTGCAGTAGATTTTATCAGACCAATTTCCGGTACAGGACAGGATAAATGGACAAGGCCACGACGGATAGATGAGGCCGATGTTCTGAGTGGACGGCTGTTCAAAAAGTGTAAGTGTGGGGACTCAAGCTGTCTGCTTTACGTTCACTAAGTTGGGGACAGTGGAAGGAGACGGCTGAAACCAAACGCCACGTCAATCTACCAGCTCGACGCCGGTGGCCATAAGGACGAGCGGAGGCCGAAGCACATCCATGACCGTTGGCCAATTGCTTGTCCGGAAGCAGAGGATGTAAGTTGACACCGGTTACCTACGGCGGGTAGCCGTGGATGTGGCCAGCTTAGGTGAAAATTACCGTGATAAAATCAGTCCACGTCGATGGAAATTCTCAACGAAAGTTTCGGAGTTACCTTTTCACAGCTTATTTATTATTGTGTGGTTATACTTCGTGTTGTTATTTTCAGCCCTGACGCCGGAAATCCCGACCCTAGGCCTAACCTATGCCTCACCAAGAACTCATGCGCATTCTGAATTCACCCGGTCTCGTCGTCTACTGTCAACACAGTTTTGCTGCTAACATGGCTATTATGTGTCTGTACATGCACGGCGTTTCAGCTAAATCTATTTCAAAATAGAGACGGATACGCGTTTCGATACAGGATCTGTAAAGGAAAAAGTCATCGCACTGTAGGCAAACGTTTTACAACAGCCGTTTGAGCATAGTGAAGCTGCTGAACATATGCTTCGTTTTTATCGCCGAGAAGTCTGTCAAGGAAGGCGTTTCCGTCTGTGGCCTGGTCCACAAGGAAGAGGTTTCCTGGTACGCTATTTGCCGCAGTGTTTGCTCCAATTCTGCGCTTATGGAAGCGGGTAGCATTGGTGGACCGGGCGTAGAAGTGCAAGTGGAAAAGACGCTGATTTATTGCCCAAGTACAACCGGGGCCGACGAGGCAAGCGGGAGTTGGAAGAGTGGATGAATGGCAGGACCCTGAGAAAGGTGGTTTTCGAGCAGGTTAACAACCACGTTTAGAGAACACGGAGTACTGTTACATGAAGACTGGTAGTATTGGGCAAAACTATTGTGACGGATGCTTGGAAAGGCTACATCCACCTATCCTCACTGAAATAGCAACAGTTCACGGTGAATCACTCAAAAAACTTTAGTGGATTCCATAGCTGATAGGCACACCAATGCCATTCGTGAGTACTGAAGTCGCCTCAAGCGGTGATTGCAACAGTGTTGTACCGTGTCCGGAAGAAAGATATAGACACACACGGAAGAAGTGCAATGTCGGCTGTGGTTCGACATTCGGCAGCATGACATACCAAGTTTCGGGGATATTTTTTCAGGGCAAATTGCCGAACTCTATCCCGTTGACCAGGAGCCAGGTAAGTGTGGTAGACATACTGATTTGCGGAAAAATTCAGGAGGAAGTCAGTGCCCGCACTGAAGGAAGATTAGTGAAAAGTTTGTCGCGGAGCATTGCCCATTTCTGCCATCGTGTATTGGTGGAGTCGGTGCCGCATCTGGAGGCCGAGGCTTGCACAAAGCAGGATGAGTGTGAACTGACCACCTTGACTAAAGATGGAGCAGAAGCCCACGGGAACGAAGGAATAACTCCGATTCGCCGACACTTCTAATAGTAGTCAATCATTGTAAACGAGTACGCCGACCTTCGGAAGGTGCACGTTATCGGAAATCGGACAGTTATCAGCAGTCCAACGGACGTACTAGTCGAAAGAAATTCGCGTAAAAGAAGACCGTAAGGGTCAAGCGGAGGTCGGAGGACAATGTCAAGACGAAGGAAGTCAAGAGGAGCTGTTGGACCGGGGATCGCGGCCACAGGATCGCTTAACCGGTAGTCAGAGGTCAGTTGAGGTTTCCTTCAAATAGACTTAAGCGTCGCCTAGTTTGTCGTTTTACGGAATTAGTCCAGGTAAATTTGCAAACTGCGGACTGTGACGGCGAAATGGAAGATATCTACTAGATCAGAGCCTGATTATCCGCTTTGATGGCTGTTGTGTGGATGAATGCAACAAGGTGGAAGGACAGCATTCTAAATCCCACGCAGCCCAGCAGACAGCAAGATTAGGTGGAGGCGTCAAGGATGCCTGTATGTGTGAGCTGATGGGTGAATCGGTATGAGCGATAAAATTTACCGGAATGGTGTACTCCAACCTGAAAACAGAGAAGGTGATGGCGGTAGATGTGGTTGGGAAGGTATCCCACAGTTTTTACCTTAAGCGTACTGATGATGCCTGCAATGAACTCCCACTGTTTCCTCTCCAAAGGTTGTACTTAGAGGTAGCTGTACGGTTATACAATGGTGAACTGTAGGCCTTGTAGTTATATGATTGCTCTCGCGGCAAGGAGCGTTTCGGAACCTCATATACTTTCATCAGCTTGACGTGTATATTTTCCTTCCCTAAGTGCTAGTTTGTTTTTATATCCTTGAAAACCCTCACATGCCATTCAACTTAGAGATGTTGTGAAAACTACCCAAGGGTGTTTTCATTGTATAAAAGCAGTTCACGCTTATCCTCCATATCTTTTTGGGGAACAGAAATTGTTCTCCTATAGTTTTTTTTGAAAGTGAGGGCTAGCCGAATTCTGTCGCACTTTCATCGTAGTAGTTATTTCACTGCTTAATTCCCGGTTCACAATCTTTTTCTAAAAATGGATAACTCTCTTTT